GCCTTCATGCCTTTTTTTCACACTACTCCCTGCACCTTGAACAGCCACTGACAAGGATCAGGAAGGAATTTTGTTCCTGCCAATGTATGCTGGGAGATTTTTTTTTTTTTAATTTCTTTCCTCTGAAGTATCAAAGTTGGTCACAAATGGAGATAGACAGAGTGGGCCAGGGACTCTGAGGTGACTTTGAGTATTCTCTCTCTCGGGTACTTGGCTGGCTGGCTCTTGCTCATATACTCAGGGTCTAACTGATTGCCATATGTGGGTCGGGAAGGAATGTTCCCCCAAGTCAAATAGGCAGTGACGCTGGGGTTTTTTAGTCTTCCTCTGCAGCACATAGGTGTGGGTCATTTGCCAGGATTATCTCTGTACATCTCACTTAATTATTTCCCTGACATTCCAGAAGCCTCAGGCACTGGTGCATCTCAGTCTCTCCTAGTCTCTGCCTGTGGCACACAATTGTCAAGTTTCCTGACAATTGTAATACTTTGGTCTTGTTTCAGTTGTTCAGTTTAGTGTGCAGGTGCTGGGTGGTACTGGGAGCCTGTGATGTATAGCAGGTCAGATTAGATAATGTGGTGGTCCCTTCTGGCCTTACACTCTATAAGACTATGTATCAAGCACACACCGTCTCCTCCTGAAATCTCATGTCTTTAGACTTGTTTTCCATTGCTAAACTCAGCTCTAGAACTGACATCGCCTTCCTCCATGCCCATTCATATTAAAAGAATAGACCAAGCAATCCATGCAAGTGCAACAATAGGGATTTTTGGGACACTTTGCATAAATGCTCTTCCAAAAGCAATTTCTCCCTTCCCTATATTTTCTATCTTTCTGTCTTCCATTATTGCTATAGGGCCCATTTCTGAACCCATTACTCACATAAGCAGCCCCACTGATGTAAATGGGACTGGTCATGTGAATAAGGATTTATAAGATCAGTCCCATAATTGAGGCACTGATCCCAAAGCCCTATTCACATGAATAGCCCTACACTGAAGTCAGTGGGATGGTTCCTGAGAATAAAGCTCTGCAGTATTGGCTTTTGGACTGTACACTCGTCAGGCAGAGACCTGAGCCAAATCTTACAAGCCAGCCATGAGATGAGCTTCCATTGACTTCACTGTGAATACTATGCACAGAGGGCTTTTGGTTTCAGCCCCCCGTCTTTTATTTTTCTGTAAAGCACCATGCGCACCCAGGGTGCTATATAAATAAAGAAATATAAAAGGCCCTGCAAATGAATTTCTTTGTAGAAATGTTGGCAAATAGAGCTCGAATGGCCTTCTCATACATAAATACAGGGCTTGATACAATGCCCATTGAAGTCAATGGTGGGGCTCTCCTTCACTTCACTGGACATTGAATCAGGCCCATAGGACTATATCCACAAAGGGGACTTACACTCAGCATTGCAATGAGTAACTTCAGCTGCCCTGGTACCCAGCGGAAGCCTCAGCCCGGGGTTAGGCACTCTGGCTCCCCACATACTGCATGGGGAGAATTAGACTCCTAAGAATGGTTTCAGAGTAACAGCCGTGTTAGTCTGTCTTTGCAAAAAGAAAAGGGGTACTTGTGGCACCTTAGAGACTAACCAATTTATTTGAGCATGAGCTTTCGTGAGCTACAGCTCACTTCATCGGATGCATACCGTGGAAACTGCAGTAGACATTATATACACACAGAGACCATGAAACAATACCCCCTCCCACCCCACTGTACTGCTGGTAATAGCTTATCTAAAGTGATCATCAAGTTGGGCCATTTCCAGCACAAATCCAGGTTTTCTCACCCTCCGCCCCCCCACACACAAACTCACTCTCCTGCTGGTAATAGCCCATCCAAAGTGACCACTCTCTTCACAATGTGCATGATAATCAAGGTGGGCCATTTCCAGCATAAATCCAGGTTTTCTCACCCCCCCACCCCCATACACACACCAACTCACTCTCCTGCTGGTAATAGCTCATCCAAAGTGACCACTCTCCCTACAATGTGCATGGTAATCAAGGTGGGTCATTTCCAGCACAGATCCAGGCTTTCTCACCCCCTCCCCCCGGGAACACACACACACACACACATAAACTCACTCTCCTGCTGGCAAAAGCTCATCCAAACTGACCACTCTCCAAGTGTAAATCCAAGTTTAAGCAGAACGTCTGGGGGGGGGGGTAGGAAAAAGCAAGGGGAAATAGGCTACCTTGCATAATGACTTAGCCACTCCCAGTCTCTATTTAAGCCTAAATTAATAGTATCCAATTTGCAAATGAATTCCAATTCAGCAGTTTCTCACTGGAGTCTGGATTTGAAGTTTTTTTGTTGTAAGATAGTGACCTTCATGTCGGTGATTGCGTGTGATTCAGAGAAGCCAGCACGCTGAGCAGGGGGCCACCTAAGCTAGCCAGAAGTGAAATGTTGAGGACAAGGGTGTGGCCAAGCCTTGGCCCTCAAATAGAGTTAGGTGCCTACATTTGGACTGGAGGAAGATGCCGATCTCCACCTGGGCTTCACAGCTGTGAAGCCGTTAAGTACCCAAGCCAGCTCAGTTCTTTCTCAAAAAAAAGAAAAAACTCAGGAGGAGGTGATGACCTTATACCCTGTAGTCCAGTGGTCAGAGCTGGTACTTGGCCCCAGCCCTCCTACCTCCAGGTGATTTCCCTACTACCTGGGCTATGGCATATTCTGATGTAGGGCTCTCTCAATTTCTCGTGTTGAAGTTGTTTCACTGAATATAAAATAAACATTTATTGGAGCTGGAACCTGGGTCTCCCCGGTGGGTGCCCTAACCACTGGGGTATAGAGTCATCCTCAGTCTCTCATCCTGACCCAATGAATATCGCATTCTTTATACAAAGCGGAACAAATTCTACTAGTGGGGGGCACCACCTGCTCCTCCAGTATTGTTTTGTGCCGGGGGCAATGCAGTAGGTGTGCTCTTAAGTGGCCTCTAAAAATCCCTTCTAGATCAGGCCCCACAGACAAGATAGGTGGGGGATTTTGAGGATCCCACTAGGGCTTAGGTGCTGAGAAGCCAAGCAGCAACAGGATTTAGACAGATTTGTGCATGCCCACACACAGAAATTTAGGCACCATGTTGACTTTGCCAGGGCAACGTTGGCATCTAAAGAATGTAAGTGTCTACAGGGTTAGTCAGCAGCTGAGCAGGGGAGTTGATCTAAATTTTTGTGTTAGATGCCTAAAGTGGCATTTTGGCACCGACATCCCTTTGTGGGTCTAGCCCATAGTGCATATAAAACAGTGTTAACACTGTAAATGTCTAGAAATTGATAAAATATGGGCCTAATCCTGTAAATCCCCTACTGGCATGAATAGTCCTCCTTTACTCACAAGTAGTCCCATTTATTTCACTGCGGTTTCTCGCATGAGCAGGAGTTTCTGGGACTGGGTCTATATTTCTTTTCTTTCTTTTTTTTAAACTCAGTACGGTATAAGAAAAGTGCTTGACATACAGTATTTGTAGCCAGGATGATCTTAGATAATGCTGTTATATGTGTGGTGAATTTCTGTAATCCACTGTCCTTTATCACAAAATGGTAATGCTAAATGTATGTAATTGTCTTATTAAGAGCTTCAGATCAATATGAGTAAGACCCAGGTGATTTTAGAATAATTTGGCAGTGATGTTTTGGCTATTTGTTAACTGTTTTAACTGCTCATCTGTCTGAGTGTCTCACTTTTTTTATATACTGCCTGTCACCCTAGTACCTTAGTGCTTTAGAAAATTAAGAGTATGGGCCAGATCACCAGCTGATGTAAATCAGTGTCACTCCATTGACTTCAGGTGGAGTCAGTTGACACCAATTGAGGATACTACATAACTTCATTATGATAAGAACACAAACCAAGGGCCCTATCTTACATTCTTTCTGCTTCCAAAACAGCCCCTGGCTTCTGGATGAGCTTGGGGAGGGAGGCTCAGGGAATGCAGGTTTGAGCCCCAACTCGGCATCTTATGGTTTTACTGAATAAGGATGTTTGATAGTTAACTAGTTTCAAAAATACACCAATATTTAATCTGTTGCATTTCTAATTATGTGGGGCTCTCGTTCTCGCTCTCTCCTTTTTAAAAATTAAGAAACGTTAACAGCTGAAAATTAATAAGCTAATAAACGAGACAATATTTTACCAGATGTTATCAATGCATCCTTGCTGGCAATATATACAATAGAAAATGTCTATCTGCACTAGTCCAGTCTATAATTTTGCTCTCGTTTCACAAATCTTGCATTTGCATGGATTATAACGAGCAAAAAACCTAGCCCGTAACCAGGATACACTTCCTTTCCGAGTGCATTTTTTTTAAGAAAGCCATCCCTGCAGATGCATAATGCAGTGGGTGCAGCGTTGCACAAGACAGCAGGAGAGGGGATAGACCCCCCCCCCCCGCCCAAAATGCATCGATATCAAGTTTAGATGGAAGAGAGAAAGTTAATGCGTTCAGCTCATGTGTCCCTCCCCGCACCCCCGCCCCCATTTAAGGACAATGAAGGGTTCTAAAAGTAAGCAGCTGGGCTTATCTCCTCTGCCTCCAGTACTGGGCAGGAATCTGGGACCTCTGGTACAGTACGTGCCATCCGTACTAGGACAGTTTACAGATGTGCTGCCTGACTCCTTGCTATTTATAGCAGCCTCTTCTACCACGGTACTCGAGGGGGTTGTAACGCAGGAGCAGGCATGCTCCTTTGATTTATTGCTGGAATTATATTCGTTTAAGACAACTCCGCTCTTCTCATAGCAGGGCGAGTGAAGCACGTCCCTGGACCTTTACCACACACACCCGTTTGCAGAGATTAGTGTCCCTACCACGCAGACGCTGTTAGGATTCACTGCAAGGGAGACGGAGGGGGTTTGGGGCTAATCCCTTTTAAATAGCGGTAAAAGAGGGGAAACAGACAGAAGCTCGGGCTCGTGCCTTACCTCTGCAGGGATATTAAGAGAATGGAGGTCAGCTGTGTGTGTGTGAGAGAGAGAGAGAGAGAGAGAGGCTGAAGCGGAATAGGAGTGTGAGTTGGTTAGCATGCAGTACCATGATGGATACACATTTCACGGCGCTGCATATCGGGTAACCATAAGTTAAATATTCAGCAAGAGCACTGGGCATAGCCTATTAATAGAAGCCGAGCGTTTGGCGCTCGCTCGCTCTCCCACAGGCAGGCAGCCGGAGGATTTGATTCTGCCTCTTTTCCCCCCGGGAGCAAGAGACGAGCCACAGCCCCTGGAAAGCCTCCGCCAGGTCACGGCGAGCTCAGTGAGTATCAGGTGCTACTGACCCCATTACCGCTCGGACGCGTCTCCGGAGGAAAGCAGGGCAAGGCTGGGGGAGGCTGCTAACGGACACGGAGCTAACGCGAAAATATTCTCTCTCTCTGCAGCACCCTGGAGAGCTCCTAGGGGCGGCTCACCAAGCCATGCGAGAGCCTTCTCCACCGCCCCGGCCAACCCGCCAGCTTGCACGCGGAGCCGGGGGCTCTGCTTCCTTCCCCTTGGCAGCCGCGCTCGGAGCTCTCCCAGGTGCTGCAGACACCCGGCTGCCTAACTCCCTGGCAGGTCTGCGAAGAGCTGCCCGGGATGCTGCGGAGCTCTGCCTCCCCCCCCCCCAAACAAAACCACTCGGAGCTCGCGGAGCTGTCCGGAGACGGCGCCCCTCCTCCCCTCCCCAGCCCCCTGCACACCCGGCTGCCCAGCGCTTGCCTGAGGAGCGTTTGCTCCGTCCAGGAACGGCCCAAGAGCCCAGCGCTTCCTTTGCCCGAGCCGCAAAGCACTTGGAGCTGCTTCGGATCAAAGCCTGCCGCCGGAGGGCAGGGCAAATTGAGGCGGAAAGTTCTTGCCATGTAGGGCTGGACGCACTGCTCGCGAGGAACCCAGCCAGAGCAGGGGCCATGCAAAAACGCAGCCGCCACCGTGGCAGGAGCAAGCAGAAGGCGCGGGGAAAGTTTTGCACCTGCTGCTGCTCGCGGGGGGGGTGTGTCCGGGGATGGGGGTCCGGGGGACAGGTCCCTGTGCCTCGCTTCCTTACCTCGGTGTTCTCAGTAGCATTCTCCGCCATTTTCCTCCTTAGGAGCAGGCAGCGGGAGGAGTGTTTCATTCCCATAAGAGCCAGCCAAGGGGTTGGGGCTTGGGGCTGTGTGCTTTTTTTTTTTTTTTTTTTTTTAAGATCTCCAAAACCTGGCACACGCACAAAAAGGCAACAAATTAATTTGCTTTTTGTCCTTTCTGCTGCCTCCACTGGCACCAATTTTCCTTTGACACTTCCAAGCTCTTCTTCCCTTTCCCCCTCTTTTCCGCCTCCACCAAGCTCTTGAGATGAGTTAGGAGGCAACCCCCTCTTCAGCTTACACTAAAGGCTGCCGGGCTGCGCGTCCTGCTCCCTCGGAGAAAGCGATCGGGCTAAAAAGGCAAGAAGCACCAACTAAACTGAACTTGGGCGTGCAGTGACCAGCGGGGCATCTTTGTGCCCTGTGGCTAATCTTCCAGAGGCAGAGGGAGACAGAGACAAAGCAGCGGGGCCAGGAAACCATAGCCCCTTCCTTTCTTCTTTGGGCTCCTCTCTCTCTCTCTAAGTCTCCACTCCAGAAAACTTGCTTTTAAGGAAGGAGCCCACACTGCTCACGCTGGTAAAGCATTTGCTAGCTTCTTTCCGTGGCTATCTTCAAAAGGAAGCAGCATCCCCTTCCTGTTCTTGGGCTGGGCTCCTGTCCTACTCTGCGAGTTGATCTCCTGTACCTTTCTTGGGAGGCACAATTATATCAGTTCCCCCCCCCACACACACACACACACACTCACAACTTTCTTCCTTCCTTCGCCCCCACCCCTTCGGATCAGCCCTACTTTTCTTTCCAAAGCCTCGCTGCCCTTGAGAAGGATTTTATGGGTCAGCCCATTAACTCCTTCTGCTCCGGCTTCTTTTCTCTTTGGCTTTGGAGGAAGCCTGTTTCGCTCTGGTTTTGTGCGTGTGCCTCTTCCTCCCAGCTGCTGTTTCCTGACTTACATCTAGCCTGAGCCTGCCTCCCAAACAGACTCCAGGTGCAGAAAGATCGCCCTTGTCTGAGCACAGCTACTCCGCAAAGCCAGAACAAGCGTTTTTGTTTGTCAAGCCCTTCCCTATGTCCATCCTCCTCCCTGGGAACTGTCGCTAAGTGCCCCCCTTCCCGCACGTTTCTCTGGTTCTTCCTCTCCCACCACCTTTTAGATTCATGTGGTCTTACAGCGGAGCTAGATTTGCCTGGCTCGTTTTGGTGGCTCTAGGGGCGGGAGGGGGGTGTATGTTACACAATGCATTCCTGGGTCTTCACTTTAGTCCAGCGTTGATCTCCAACCCGCTGTGATCGTGTTGATCTCGTTGGGGGAGCGGGGTGAGAAAATAAAGCTAGAGGGGTTTATTTCACGTTGGATTTAAGTACCTGACCAACTTCACTACCATGCGTTGTCCTAACTCATGTCTACCCGTCAGGCCAACATACGTCCAAAGAGGCTTAAACATTTCTTTGGGTGCCTTTTTTAGTACACACATGCATATCCCCCCACCCACCCCCACTCCCCTGCTCTTTATCCTTCTCTCATTTTGACAGATATTTTTTTGCGCAGCCTCTTTTATAATCTCCTGTAACAAAAGAGTGCAAGAAGAGTTTATCCTTAGCTGACCTCTGCAATGCTGGCAACATATCAGATGCAATGCGAGCAACAGGAGCCCATGCGTGCACAGGAGGCAGGGATATTCCTGGGGGAGGTGTTAGTGACTTATGGAGCCGACAGCCAGAGTGGTTGCGCTGCCTTCTCCCCACAGGAATGGGGCTAAACCGGCAGGACAACGGAAACAAGTAGAGGGAAAAGGTGGGGACATTTTTTATATGCTCACTCACACAGAGATGCAACTACTCCCCCCTTAAGCGGAGATGGAAGCCATGTGATAAATTTCAGGGACGTGATAAATGTATACATACATACCAAGGAACTGGAGATTCTAGCCATGTGATCAATTGCAAGGAGATGTGACACATAAACATATACCACATAGGTGGCCATGATGCTATGAGTTAAATTACAGAGTAATGTATTAGACTCATACCAGGTAACTGGAGGTGATACCCCTGTGAAAAATTGCAGAGCCATTTGATAAATCATCCATTTGTCTTATACCTTTGGCTGCCCACTAACCCACCCCATATTATCCTAACATGCCAAACCTCTTAGTAGTTTCAAGCAGCTGCCATTTTTTTTAAATGATCCTTTCAGAAAAATGTTTCCTTCTCCTCCCAAATGTGGAATTTAAACCCTGCCCCAAATCACACTGCAAGATTCAGTATAGTACCAATAAGAGGTTGAAGCACCCTGGCAGAGCTAGAAATGGGGCATTCTCTTTTTCCAGTGGGACACACATAGAGAACTTGAAGCTCCTCTGATGTTGGCTCTTAAAATGGAGACAATTTTTGCTTTAAAAAGTTTTTAGATCATTTTAAAGGTTTTTCCGGCGTTCCCAGAGCTTTGTACAGTTGAACTCAGAGTAATCAAAATAACCCAATAAAAGTTTAAATCTAAAACAGTTGCCAAATGCTCTGTCACATACAGAATACCAGGTGGTGTGAAGTTTTTATCAGCATGAGTTTGGGATGATCTGCGTAGCTCAATGGTGGTTTCCCTATTTATGAGTAATATACCCAGCCAAAAATTATGCTACTAACTCCTTTAGACAGACCACACCAGCCTTGTCTACCCTGGCAAGTTTCTGCCCAGCAATGCAGCTTTCTGCACTGTAACTCCCGCGGTGCACACACTGCCAAGCCATTTAGTGCACAGAAACTGCGCAATTGCAGCGCTGTAAAAAACCCGCCCCGACGAGAGGCGTGCGGCTTTCTGTGCCGGGGGTACAGCGCTGCGGTGCCAGTGTAGACACCCTGGTCGATTACAGCGCTGTGACTGGCCTCCGGGAGGTGTCCCACAATGCCTCTTCTCGCCTCTCTGGTCATCAGTTTGAACTCTACTGCCCTGCCCTCAGGTGACCAACCATGAACCCCACGCCTTAAATTCCTTGGGAATTTTGAAAGTCCCCTTCCTGTTTGCTCGGTGATGCGTGCAGTAGTCTCAGTGCATCTCTCCAGGCGGCCATGCCTGCTCCACGCACCAGGCGATCCCCCGCTTGGAGCAATGCCGAGCTGCTGGACCTCATCAGCATTTGGGGAGAGGAGGCTGTCCAGTCCCAGCTGCGCTCCAGCCATCGGAATCATGATACCTATGGACAGATTTCACAATGCATGACAGAAAGAGGCCATGACCAGGACACACTGCAGTGCAGGGTCAAAGCGAAGGAGCTGCAGAACACCTACCACGAGGCTCGGGAGGCAAACTGCCACATCGGTGCTGAGCCCACAAGCTGCCAGTTCTACAAAGAGCTGACCGATCCATAGCAGTCTGGAGTAGCCAGCTTCCACAGTTAAATCACCAGGTGCTTCTTCAATGGCAGGGCAGCTCTCATTTTCGTGTCCTTGCGCTGCAGGGCTGGGGCAAGCTCGCCACACAGTCCCATGAATGTGGCTTTCCTCATCCAAAAGTTCTGCAGCCACTGCTCATCATCCCAGACATGCATCATGATGTGATCCCACCACTCAGTGCTTCTTTCCTAAGCCTGAAAGCAGCGTTCTACTGTGGTCAGCACCTCCGTGAATGCCACAAGCAATTTCGTGTTGCGTTAGTCAGAGCGAGCAGCATACTGGTAAACAGTGCGGGATCCATTCCTGCAGACCGAAGAGGCAGAGCACGCAGTGCACAAACCATTGAAAGATGGCGCCAAATGCGGACGGAAGCACAGGGATTGCTGGGATGTGAAGCAATGCATTACAGGGCATTGGGACAGGACCCACGGTGCCCCGTGACCCCCTCCGCCTTCCCACAACTCTTAGCGGCGGAAGAGGAAGAGATGCTCTGTGGGATAGCTGCTCAGAGCGCACCGCTCTGAATACTGCTGCAAGTGCCCGAAGTGTGAACGCGCTATTGCGCAGGCAGCTGACAGTGTGAACACACAACAGCAGTTTCCCTTCAGCGCTCTCTGAGCGGTGCTGCAACTGCCGGCGCTGTATCTCTGCCAGCGTAGACATACCCACCATATGTATTTATCTGTATTTAGGCAGATAAATAAGAGGCAGGTTTTTAAAAGTGCTCTGTATCCAGTAGCTTCCATTCGGATAGGTATGCCAAGGATTTCAAAAGAGCTCAGCTCCCGTTTAGGCAGTTAAATGAAGAGACAGATTTTCAAAAGTGCTCAACACCCAGCAGCTCCAATGAAAATCTTGTCACTTAAGATACTGAAATGAGAGTTGTTGAGTGCTGAGCTCCTGTGAAGGCCTGACCCCTCACAAGAGCTTCCAACACACCATTCCCTCCTCATAGTACTATGTGACCTTAAAGAGAGGGGGTCTAGGAAAATGTTTTGAAACCCCATGCTACTTGGGGCCATCTACTTTATACCAAAGGCAAATGATTTGTTCTTCAGAAGTACATGTATTAGTCAAGGGAAAAAGTCATCCCTTGCAGGAGTGAATTATTCATATGGGGCTCTGAACTCCAACTAAGAGGCAGGGAAATGTCTCACATTTTGATGCTGCAGCACTTTGATAGCAAAGACACACTGCCTAATGCCTAGAATTAAATTCTGCCCTCAGATTTGTACATGCAACTCCCCTTGACATCAGAGAGAAAAATTGACTTTAAGTGCTGAACTTGGGGCATATTCCTGGTACGTGTGCTTTGTTTCAGACATTAAGCAAGACATAAACAATAAAAGTACATTAATTTATTTATAACACTTCCAGGAGATGGCCAAAACATTTTGATTTTAAATAAATAATGCACGTGAAGTCCATAAAGCATAAAAAGGGGGGCGGGGCGGATACAAGAATTTTTTTACTTTCATTTCTCCAAGGTGGTAGGTGCTGTGATTGCTGGAGCTCTGGTATTGGCTGAGTGTCACAGTGTGGGTAGAGCACTGAATTGGGACTGAGGAAACTTGGGTTCTATTCTTGGCTTTGCCATTGGCCTGCTGAGTGACATGTGGTAAGTCACATACCTCTCGGTGCCTCAGTTTCCCCATCAGTAAAATGTGGATAATGATAGTGACTTCCTTTGTAAAGTACTTTGAGACCTACTTTACTTGATAAAAAGACTGTACAAGAATTATGTATTATTGTTTATTCACATGACCCCATGAGGTAAGCCAAGGAAGCTGTAGCCCATATATTACAATACTTTAAAAAACAAAAGACAGATTGACTGGTGGTTTTAGTTCCTGGGGGAAAGTAATGCTCCTTTGAACTGAAAATATGACTCCCAGTGGGCTCTGTACCTCAGTGGCAGCCACTTTTCAGCCCAAGTATACACACACATCTGTATCCATGAATGACACGGCTAGAATACCTGGCTGCAGTGTTAATCTACAACTGGTGTAAAAACAGCTAGGATAATTGACATCCAGAGTTACAGAAGTAGGTATGGAGTGTTGTCACTACCACAAATTATTTCAAACCACTGATAGCAGCTTTTCCTGTAAAATTACTAATCTGGAAGAATTCAAAGCAGGTCTGCTGCTGCGAGGGTTCAAATGGAGCTGGCATAGCCACAACCAGTGTGGGAGCGCTTCCAATAGGACCATGACAGTGCTCCAGGGACTAACATTAAGTTCAACAACAGAAGACTGGAGAAAGGACGAGAGGGTCTCACACAGCGAGGAAAGGAGACTGGAAGGAAGAACAGGAGACAGGTGGGGCAGGAGAAGAGTGGAAGAGAAGGCAGGAAGGAAAGAGGGAGAATGTAGGGAGCTGTAGAAAAGGAGCAGGAGAAGGAAGCATAGGGTGGCAGCAGGAGAATGGAAGTAAAGGGAAGGCTGGAGGTTTGAAAGGGTTCAACAGAAGAGTAGTCTCCCTCCTCCCCATTCCTTTTTTTCAACAAGTATGAGAAGGATTTGACCAGGAAAGTTCCCCATCCT